TTGATATTGTACTACTACTTACATCTCAGGAAGTGGAGCAGACTGACGATGCAAGTTCAAAACAAATAAATACTGTTTTTAGACTATCATTGATTTAAATTGCTTTTTGAATGTTTTAAATAGCAGTTTTGATTGCTACTTTTATCCGTGTATTCTTTTGTAAACTACTTTGTAGTTTGTTTGTTACAAATAAGTGGTACATAAATTTTATGAAATGAAATCAAAGGTTTGCATTCAAAAGAGGATGTGAAGTTTGCAAACTCCGATATTCTTCAGTAGACTCTAGCTTTTCCAGTTGGTGAGAGCCTCTTTAGTATCATGCAGAATTCAGTGCCTCAGCGCAATGCCTTGGAAAGTTTCAAAACAATTAGAAATGCCTGATGGGATGCCAGTCAACTATCCTGTTTAACATACCATTATTCATGAGCACGCAAAAATCAATACGACACCACAGAAGGTACTTTGATGAAGCAGCATAATAATCCTTAAATCGCTCACTGGCTTCCTTAGAATACTTATACAGGCATAACAGAAGTATGTGACTTAACTAACTGTGACATTTAATTGACTATTTATTTAGTGATTTGCATTCGAATATGAAGCTTTAAGCAATTACAACATTTTACTAGCAACTGCTCCCTCTTTCCCCCCTCATATATATCAAAAAACTAAACTGCTGGTAGTGGACTTGCCAGGATATTAAAAGGGTTTTACAGCCTATATTCCCACGCTTTCCCTGCTGGTTGCTTTTGTGACTTTTAAATTCTGCTGGGGGGATCTCTCTTGCTAGATAGTGTGTTTAGCCCTGAACTTTGGATCTAGGGATCCAGCCAATTATTTTGTTAATTTTGTTTATTTTTGCTAATTTCCTCCCACAAGTGATCTACAGTTGTACCTTAGAAGTCAAACGGAATCCATTCCGAAAGTCTGTTCGACTTCCAAAACATTCGGAAACCAAAGTGCGGCTTCTGATTGGTTGCAGGAAGCTCTTGCAGCCAATCAGAAGCCGTGGAAGCCCTGTTGGACGTTCTGCTTCCAGAGAACGTTTGCAAACCAGAACACTCACTTCCGGGCTTGCAGTGTTCGGGAGCCAAAATGCCGAAGTACCAAGGCATTCGGGATCCAAGGTACGACTGTATATCTTTATCTATATCATCTATAGACATAGACATATTTATAGCTATATATATTTTCTCCCTGCAACTGCATGGATGGATGCACCATTCTATGACTACTGGAGCTGGAAGAACCTATGCATCACTAATATCCGCCTCAATTTCTGTGCCAATATCTGGCCACTGGCATCATATAGGGAGGCAGTAAGGATGTACTGTCCTGGGTCCTGTGCAAGTCTGGGAAATACACATCATCTGAATGGCCTGAACTTCCCCACTGATAGCCACTGCAAAGTCCAATTCCATCAACAACAACAGAATTGGCATTGACTGGGATAACCACGCTAATCATGGGTAAAGCTCTACTCATTTCCTAGATCTAACTAAGTTTGTGAATAGGTTGCCTGAATCTCATTGCAATCTGTGTTGGGGTCACAGAGGACCAGACAACAGAATCTAATACGCCTGTCCTTGCCCATTCAGTCTCAGACCCTCTTGTGCTGAGCAGAAAACGACAGAAGGAGGCTTTTACCCACACTGAACACACTAGAAGCCACTGCAGAATCAGGAGTCCTGGCAGAAGCCACCTTCAGACCTTCCTTTGCTCAACACAAGAAGGTCTGGAATACAGAAAGCAGTGCTGAGGTAGATGGGGACATTTGGCATGCACAGCCCTGTGTCCCCAACAGAGGTGGATATTTCCTGTTCGGACATAACACCTGAGCAGTGGTGCACAAAACATTCAGCTTGTGGCAAATGAAACAGAGCAGCCAAGTAGATATCAGTAAATGTGAAGATACCCAACCAATAGCTGGGCTGGGAACCAGAGGTGAATTTGCCCCAGGGACTTCAAGGTGAGAGAAACATGCCTTGCTTGTTCTGAACCCTTTGGCTCCAAACTGCCTCATGTGATCCACATGCCTCATAGAATATTTACCATATTTAAAATACCAGTAGCAAAGGGGACAAAATGATTGCTGTCTGTTTTACTATAGGCACAAGCCACCTCACAAAAGGATGCTAACAATTTGCCAAAGGCAACATCAGAAAGGCATAGAGAATACCATGGATGGTGGAGGAGGAACTGTCCTATTGACCAACCTTCCTTCTTCCAGAGCTGCTGCTCTTTTTGTATGCTTTTCAGGTGCCTGATGCTACCCCACTAAGATAGCATTGCACTGTAATGGGCTCAATTAAGGAACTTAATGATTCAGGCTCCAGTCCTTTTCAGCAAAAACTACCGAGAAGGAAGAAAAAGAGGAGGAGGTATGATATACTTGGGATGCTGTCCTTGGAGTCTGACTCAGATGTTTGAAATTCAAATGTTGAATGGAGGAAAAAAATACTTTTCTGGGTGAAAATCCTCCTATCTATAAAGTGGTCAGTATGCAACCATGCAGCAGGAGCAGAATTCTACCCTCTTCCACTTTCTCATATTTCTTACTGAGCAGGAAGGAAACTTCTACTCACAATCACGGCTAGCAATTACCCACTCCCTACATGTCCACTGTTATAAGTTACTGCTTGACAAATGGTCACCAAATATTCACCCAATATGTATTGACTTCATAACCCCTTTCTTGCCATTCCGTAATATAGGCTAGCATCTCCTCTCCCCCCAACACCTCCCATCCCAAATAGAAAGGTATGGCTTATTGAATGATGATCACAGAAAGACTTGTGGCAAAAGCAGAGGCTAAAGCACAGCTGCCCCAAATGCCAACCCACTACTCAAATCACTCTCATCTTTCCTTCCTTCCTGAGAACCTCATGCCCCAGAGCTATAGAAACTTTTGCAAACTCTTCTTGCTGTGGCTTAGACAGCACACCTGGTTTGGAGGAAACTGAGGCTGGGCCTCAACCCTCCTCCTAGCAAGAAAGGCTGTGATTACAATCAGGGCTTTATGACACCATGACCTCCAATGTTTGCCAGGCAAAAATTGGGTACACTTTATTTTAAGCTGGCTAAAAAAGTGGCTCATTTTTTTTTAAAATCTATCTACACCAGAACCCTCTTCTGTTGTAATTAAAGTCTTTAAAAGTAATAATAATAAAAGCTTAGTTTTTATTTGTCCCCCATGCTGCCCAATCAAGTCAGAAAAGAAGATAGCAGGAAGTTGGTACCATTGGCACTCCTTGAGGACGGCACAGAATACAAAACACAGATCTGCCCTTGATGAGTTGCTGAGCATCCTAGCCTTAGTAACTGGAGCTTCTGGCTAACAAAGAACTAGTGTGTGCCACACTGAGCTGTATACAAAAGGCAGCTTTGCAGAACTAGGCAAGGGTTAAGGCCAGGAATTTTGACAGCAGGGAAACCATTGCCCCTCCTCAGCTTTTAGCCAGTGTCAGCTATGCCCGAATGGGGATAAGCCAATTTGCATTGCCTTGGCCACTCCGACTAGTGTTGCAGTACAAGCCTCTGGCTTATTAGGCTTGTTTCATACCAAATGCCAAACTAGTCAAGAGTTACAATCCAGGCTCTCTTCTTTCCTAAATGCTGATGATTTGGATCAGTTACATCAAATGTAGGAAAACTGTAGCACAACCCACAAACATTTCCATTCTCCTTTTGAGCACCTGTTACCAGCCTTCAGAAATTCATTTTCCACACACATCCTTCCACAGGAATCATTCCGAAAGTATTCCTGTGGAGGCAGACAGTATACGAAAACCAGCCCTAAAGTTATGGACACCTGATACTTTGCTTTTGATCCTCCATAGGCCGGAGAGATGATACTAAAAAGGGACCCGCCCACCCTGCTTTGTGTTTTCTGAAGGAACTATACCTCTGGCTGCCTAGTCTGGTTTTTTGAGGAGCTTTTGATTGCAAACACTTCTAGTGCTAGTGAATTGGCCTTTATGTAGTGCCAAGTGGCTACTATGCAAATCCTGTCAGTTTCAGCTCTACGATGTAAAAAGTTTCATCTGCCAACTTTCTCTCCTTTACACAAGAGAGCCAGTGTAGTGTAGTAGTATCAAATCCCCACTCCACCCATGAGGCTCACTAGGTGACCTTTGGCCAGTCACTGGCTCTGAGTCTGACCTACCTCACAGGGTTGTTGTGTAGATAAAATAGGCAGGAACCATGTGTGCTGTTTTGAGATGCCTGGGGGAAAGGTGGGGTGGGAAACCCAGCCAGATGGGCGGGGTATGAGTAAAATAAAGTAAAGTAAAGTAAAGTAAAATAATGTTGTTTATTATTTATTGTGTTTATGTGCCATCTTTCTTCTTAAAAGTACAAGCAGATAAATAGGCACCGCTCCGGCGGGAAGGTAAATGGCGTTTCCGTGCACTGCTCTGGTTTGACAGAAGCGACTTAGTCATGCTGGGCTGGCCACATGACCCGGAAGCTGTATGCCGGCTCCCTTGGCCAGTAAAGTGAGATGAGCGCCGCAACCCCAGAGTCGGTCACGACTGGACCTAATGGTCAGGGGTCCCTTTACCTTTACCTTCTTCTTAAATGAGCCCAGGACAGTACACAATGTATTGAAAATATTACAACAATAAGAAAACATATAAAAAGATTCAAAACAGAAACAATACAAACACAGCAGCACAAACCTAGCACTGCTATATTGGAATTATTGAATTTATAGGCTTTGGACAAAATATGATGCCACAGTTAATCAAAAACAGAAGCAAACCCTTCTCAACGCCTCATGGCTGTGTCGATGGAAGAGAGGGGAGCACATGAGCCTGGGGAGATGCTGGTTTCATTTTAAGCACACTAAACCATGACCTATCATGACATCTGAGTATAAACAGCATTGGTCTATAAAAAAAAAAAGGCTTTCGATAAAAGGACGTTCTTGTCCCTTGCCTCAAAGAACCTGGAAGACAAAATTGGGCATGCCACAAAATATAAAGCTGGTTGTTACTCACCCAACTGTTAGATGGACGGGGCACCCACGATAGGGCCTCTTCCAATGACCTCAAGGATTGGGAAGGCACATATGGGATGGGAGGAAGCGTTTGTTCAGATGTCCCTTTGGTATGACTTTCTAGAATTCAAAAAAGGGAGAAAAGCATGGGAAAAACCAAGATCAGTAACTGGCAGGAAACTGTACCATGTCTTCTTCTTTTTTTAAAAAAAGCATCTATCCCAGTCATGAAAGCCTAGGTAATGTAGAAGAGAAGCTATAGCATTGCAAATTCATACCAGCACATTCATTCCTAATCCCACCTATTATCCAAACCATTGTAATTTTTCAGGATTCATAACACTGGTCTTAGATACAAGGTTTTAAAAAGTCAAGATCAATTGTTATAATATAATGCCAGGCAAAAAGCTGCTGGTCCCCATATGGCACTTAGCTTTGCAACCATCACTGAGAATGAATTTGTTGGATAGGTAGTAAACACAAGCATGGTACGCTAGAGGAGATTTTGTGGTTAGGGGAAATCCAGCAAGAGCAAGCCATGTATTAAAAACCCACAAATGCCACCATAACAGTCTGCTGCGATTCAAGAAGTCATGAGTTTGTGACACCTGACTTGAAAGTTCACTTCCCACACCGTCACCAGAGGGACTGGCTTCAGATGGCCAAATAAGGGAGCTGGCCTTTGATAAAACTGTCAAAAACATAGGAATTTGAGGTACATCAAGTCAGACCATTGGGTCCATCTGGCTCAGATCTGTCCATGCTAACTGGCAGCAAATCTCCAGGGTTCTGGGAAGGAGCCTTTCCCAGCCCTAGCTAGAGACACCAGGGACATTCTGAACGTAAAGAAAATGCTCTGCCCCTGACCTATTGCCCCTTCCCCTATCAGCTGTTTACCCACCTGCAGTTTCTCCTGTCTCTAAATTTCAGATGAGGGCATTTTAAAGCTGAACAAAAAGCTGCAATCATAGCCCAAGGAGAAACAGGATTGTTTCACAGTGCCACCCACAAGGAGGCTGAAACACCCAAACAGTTTTGCACACTGAAGAGTCCTTCACAGCTGTTTAAAGAGGGCGCAAAGCGCAGGCGGGTGAACATCACTGTAGGTGTAAGCAGAGAATTCATGCTGGGCAGCATGTTGCACCAGAGCAGATGACACCGCCAGTTGCAAAGTGAGGAAGATTCAACCTGGCAGTCCAGGCAGTGCCTTAGATATGAGGAGTCGTTTTCATTCACAGTTCATAAATCTAGCAGCAGACTGTACCTCCCATTACTTTAGCTCAGTTGTACGCTCAAGTTAACTGTTGTGCTTGCTCAGGGGAGTTAATGATTAATGCAGTCAAGAGCCATCCCTCCTCAATATTTAGTAAAAAGTAAAGGGGGGGGTTCCTTTAGTCATTTATACAGGATAACAAGTACACATGTTCCTTTTTCCTATAGAGCATAGACTGCTAATTCGATCAGTTACTCCTATTTTGAACCTTTGGTGGGGGTGGGGGAAGGGGTGTCTGATGGCTGCAAAAAATATATTTACCAAGAGGGATAAAAACAAACTTCCAAGAGGCCAGCTACTATATATAGCACAGGCAAAACATCCAGGGGTAGGTTGGGTTACAGATCCCTCACCCTACTCAAGAAGGAGGTGTTGCCAGTCTCCTAAAATCATTCTTCCTTGGAAGGTGAAAGGAGACGGATTCTATTTCTAGTTATTGGCTTGCCAGAAATATATATATATATATATATATATATATATATATATATATATATATATATATATATATTTGCTTTCGTAGATTTTCACGGGTACAGGAATGCAGGTTTTGGTGTCCTCGGGTGTCTTCCCGTGTAAAAGTTGGGGTGTCTAGGCGACGTTTCGACGAGGTCTCACTCGTCATCTTCAGGCTGGTGCTTTCGGCTTCTTGTTACTGGAACAGAGCAGGATCTCAGTGTTTGAGTTCCTATAAATACTGTTGAGGAGGTGTGGTGTATAGCCTCCAATGTTCTGGGCAGAGAGGAAGTTCCCAGGCTAGTGTGCCTTTTCTTCTTTTGTTCCTTAATTACTTGAGGGATATCTTGAGTGATTTCTTGAGTGATATCCTGAGTACCACTTAGGTGGGTCATTAGGTGTGGATTAGTTGCTAAAGCCTTCGTGTCTTGACCTCTTGAACTTTGTGAAGAGTTTTTCTGAGAAGATGGCTGTACTGCACTTAGTTGTGCTCTGGCTTGGCTTCGTGTATAGGGGCGAGCTGTGGTTTTGTGGCCTGTGCCAGCCAGATCTGTGTAGGGATTGCAGGGGGGTGTAGCATCCGGAGGTGCCACCATGGTTTGGCTACTGGATGGTGTCTGTAATTTATCTGTGGAGAGGGTCTGGGTTTGGGTCTGGTGTGGTTGATTGGTGATGGCGTTCTGTGTGCCTCTGGATCTGGTGTCGGTTTTTGTGGGGAGGGCTAATTTCCAGATGTCTGGCAGGCGGGATGTGTCGTCACGCTTGTTCATGTTGTGAGGGTGTTTCTCTATCTCGATGGCTTCCATGATTATTCTCTTGTGGTGATGTTCCATGTTAAAGAGCAATTTGGAATCTGCAAAATTAATTTCGTGTCCTGTTTCTTTCATGTGTTGGAAAAGAGAGGAAGTTTTTTCTTCTTTTTTGATGGCATTCTTGTGTTCTGCGATACGTGCATTTATTCGTCTGTTTGTTTGTCCAATGTACGTGGCTGGGCAGACTTTGCAGGGTATTTCATAGACCCCTTGGTTTTCCAACTGGATTTTATCCTTGGGGTTTCTGAGGATATTGGCTATTTTTTGGTTGGTGCAAAAGGCTGTTTTGATATTGTGTTTATGGAGGATTTTGCTAATTTTATCTGTAGTGCCCTTGATATAAGGAAGGAGGGCCATGCCATTGTTTTCTTCTGTGTCTTGGTTTTTGGGGGGTGTTTCTTTTTGGATTAGCTTCGTAACCCTGTTTTGCTGGTATCCATTGGCGATTAACACATTTGAGAGATTCTGTAACTCAGTTGTCAAGTGGTCTTTGTCAGCCAGGCGTTTGGTTCTGGAGATGAGAGTCTTGGCACAGGCCACAAAACCACAGCTCGCCCCTATACACGAAGCCAAGCCAGAGCACAACTAAGTGCAGTACAGCCATCTTCTCAGAAAAACTCTTCACAAAGTTCAAGAGGTCAAGACACGAAGGCTTTAGCAACTAATCCACACCTAATGACCCACCTAAGTGGTACTCAGGATATCACTCAAGAAATCACTCAAGATATCCCTCAAGTAATTAAGGAACAAAAGAAGAAAAGGCACACTAGCCTGGGAACTTCCTCTCTGCCCAGAACATTGGAGGCTATACACCACACCTCCTCAACAGTATTTATAGGAACTCAAACACTGAGATCCTGCTCTGTTCCAGTAACAAGAAGCCGAAAGCACCAGCCTGAAGATGACGAGTGAGACCTCGTCGAAACGTCGCCTAGACACCCCAACTTTTACACGGGAAGACACCCGAGGACACCAAAACCTGCATATATATATATATATATATATATATAACACAACATAACATCTACCTAAAATAAGGATTTGTACTTTAACTCTTCAAGAGACCTCAAAGAAATCCCCTCACCTCACATTATATACATTATGCCTATAAACACGCACAGAGAGACATCTTCAGGCCCAGCACTTTTTTTTGTTATGACACAGGGCACCATAATATCTCGGATTATGCTGCCCATGACACCCATTTTATGCTGGTGCCCGCAACACTTTTAACAAAATGCGAGTGTCAGCACCTCCTCGTGTTTTTTTAAAAAAACGAAAACCCACCACTGCTCAGGACTGGTGTGCAGACACTGTGGGGCCCTGCAAGGCGGAGAAGTTCTCTGTGCATATTATAGCCCTAACCCTGCAGAACGTAGTGCAGGCCAGGTAAGAACGTAGACCCTGCAGAATGACCTTCACCGCTCACAAAACTCTACAAGCCATGGCCCTGCACTTCCCACCAGCTGCTGGGGGTGTTAGTAGTATGGGGCAACAGGCAAAGTTAACTTAAGATTGTCAATCTCTTCCGCAACCCCAAGGTCCTACCAGCTGAGCCAAGTAAAGGGGAATGCAGCTGTGCATTCTGCCCTACCTTCAAGCTGGCAACACTGCTTGGCTCAGAGTTGGGGCTTAGCTCAGTGCTCAGCCAAGCTCCAAGTCAATCTGCAGAAGACAAACCCGCCTAGGATGCCATTGGGGGGCTGCCACAGCATCCCAAGCAAGTGCTGTCCATATAAGCTGCACTCCATTGGGACCAATGGATGCTACCTGGTCACCATTGACCCATGACAGGACCTTGCCAGTGGCAGTTCCCCCATTGCTTGAATGCCCTCCCTGGTGAGGTACACCTGTCTTCCTCATTCACAATATCCAGGAGGAAGTGAAAAACATCATTCACCCAGGCATATGATGGCTGAAAAATACTTTTCCAGAAAACCATGAAATTAGATGTGGTGGTGTATGTACCGTATGTTTTTAATTTCCTGTAAGATGCTCTTAATTGCTTTCCATTTTTTAAATAGGTTTTTGTTTCTAACTGTATCGCTTTACTACTGTGTATTGCTTTACTACTTTCTTTGGGAAGAAGGGCAGGACAGAAATTTAATAAATAAGAATAAGCAGCAGCAGCAACTGCAGGAAAACAAATCTCTGGGAAGGATTGCCCCAGGATGAGATACTAACCTGCCCCGAGTTCTCTTGTTTGCTAGTTCCATGGGGGCACCAGGAAAAGGGAAATAGTACAGTGGAATATGCAGTGTGAGCAGAGATCCCATGTGTGTGGTTCCCTCTACCAGCCTCTTTCTGCCCTTACACTTCTAGGCAAAATAAATTGTCATCTACTGAGCTTCCAGACAGGGACAGGTCAATTCCCAGGAAGGAAGGAGCATTACTAGCCTTATTAATCCAGTTAAGTGTTTCACAATGGGCAAAATGAGGGCTTGTGGTTTTTTTCAGCAGTGCAATAGGCATTTTGATTTAAAAAAATTGATAAAGTAATTTAAGGCCTTGAGCAAGAGTGATAAAAGAAGTCTAGTGCAAAACCTCTGTATTAACTTAAAACAACTCCATGATGTACATGCTGTGATTTCTGTCCTGGGATACACTCAGCATTTACTGTGTGGATATCTTGAGAGAATGGGTGCTCCCATTGGTCAGAAAGAGCCAAGAGCCACCCCCTCGAAACTGAGGTACTATTGTCCCCTCCCACCACCACCACGGGATCCATACCCATCTTCCAGACCACTGGGAAGCTGACCATCCCCAGCGCCTGCTCCCAGGTAGACTGCTTTGGTTTTCACCCTGCTGGAGGTCTAGGATCAAAGTTGGTCAAGGTCAGGAATTTGCTATATTGGGGGGAGGGGCAGCAGATTGCAAGGGATTGGCTGGGGTGCAAGGAACACTGACTGGTCTGGGATCCCCAAGTCTAACAGTTAATTGGACACCCCAGTTTCCTCCTTTTCTGAGGCTAAAAGTGACCTAGAAAAAGTGGGTGGTGGCAGGAACTACCAGATAGGAAAGCAGTGCTGTGGGGCCAGCTGTATGGCCAGGAAAGGGACAAGAGAGACTTTCTTGAGCATCCCAGCTTTTCTGTACCCATCTCCTCCAAAGTCTGCAGCAATAAATGGAAATAGGTTCCTTTCCTTTGGGCAAGCTGTGCCCAGGTGAGGAGCAAATGGAAGTAGAGTTGTGGCAATAAGAGGCCACGCACTGAAATATAACAACATGCATGACAGACCACACACACACACAATGTGGCTACAGATGCATAATAGGTTTTGTTTTTTTACTTATCAGATTTTAGGTGGTATGGAAAAATACAGATTAAATGTAAAAAATAAAAAAGGGAGTGAATTCTGAGGAAGACATTGTGTGGAATAACAGCAACTTGTGGCCGTGAGCAGCATTAACTCTGCAATGAACTCCTGTCTGGAAGAACCCGTGGGTCAATAAGAAACAGTCAAACTTTTGCGCCTCCACCCAAGCCCAAAAACAAAAGAAACTCTGCAGAGCAATTGCTTCATCTCAGAGCCATGTCCCTGCTCCCTCCAGTTCCTGTGCTTAACATTTGACAGTGATGTTTTATGAATGGAAAAATCAATTTCACCGTCGAGTCCATTTCAAAAAGAAAAAGAAAAAAATTGCCAGCGCAAATGTCCCAGGAGGGGCCCAGTAATTATTGAATGCTCCAGGAGAAGGGAGGTAGAGGGGAAAGTTTCACCTTTGCCCTTTGTTTTGTGAAACATCTTCAACACATACACAAGTCTTCAGAAAAGGAAATAGAGGACAAAGAAGTATAAACAACGGAGTGTAGCTCCCCCCGCAGCCCTCTCAACAAGTCTTTCTTCTTGGGTTTTCTTTTCTAAGTGCCACTAAGAAGCAAGTGGAGAGCACTGCATCCTGGAGGGCAGCGTTCCCAAACTTCTGCCAAGACCAACACACACAGAGAGTGAGGCTAGCTGTGGTACTTTCAAAGGCAGCCTGCGCAAGCCCCACCAATC